GAGAGAGAGAGAGAGAGAGAGAGAGAGAGAGAGAGAGAGATTTGAAACGCAAAAATAGGACAGATAACCACATTGGCAGAGAGCAGTGAAAGTAAATGCTGTCATAAATGAATATCAAACAATGATAAACAGTGTGTGACCATCGTTTTTTTTGTTTTTTTTTTGTGAAGGGTGAAGGGTGAAGGGCACAGTGTAAATACCCCGTTTACGTTAACAAAGACAAAAGCGGTTTAGGCAGGGGTTTAGGACAGGAGTTTAAGGCCCCAGGAAGGGGTTGGGGGTAGGGTGGGGATTACGGTAGGGGGGGGTTACGGAAGGGTCTAAGGTGAGCGAGAGGGATGGAGCGGCTTGGACGAAGAGAGTGGTGGGTGACGGCTGACCAGGCCAGATGAGTGGAAAGAGGGTCCAGATAGAGGATAAGGATTAGGGGTGAGAGTTCAGGGTACGGGTCGTGACAGACGTTTAAGGGGAGAGGTTTGAATGAAGGTAGGGGTTTAGGGAAGGGTTTACGGTAGAGAGGTTTACAGTAGGGTTTAGGGTGGGCGAGAGGGGTGGAGAGAGGGTAGCATCTCCAGACTTGGTGCGGCACGGGGAGAGAGAGGACGAAAAAAGTGGACGCATGCAGGTTATAGGGGGGGTAAGGGTGAGAGTTTCAGGGTTTAGCTGTATGATAAGGGTTTAGAGAAAGGGTTTAAAATAAGGGTCACACTGGTGATCTACGTAGGTCAGGGGAGCAGGATGTGGGGTTGGATCGGGTTTGTACTTTGGGGGTTTATCGTTGGGGGTGTGGACAGAAAAGGGAGCAAGGGACAGAGGAGGAGGACGGGGGCAGGGAAGCGGGGGTGGATGGGGGGGGTGGATGGGGGGGCGGGGAAGGGGGAGGAAGAATCAAGCATCCGGCAGGAATGGGGGGTAAAGAAAAGACATTAAACGGACAGAGACTGAAGAAGAGGAATGGGGGAGGAAACCCAGTGGAAAGAAAGACGGATGGGAGAAGGGCAAAAGAGCGGAGAGGGGAGAGGGAAAGAGTGGAGACAAAGAGAGGAAAAGATAGAACAGTGGGCAAACACTGTTCTTCGTACATGCTTCCAATGAACAAGCATTACACTTCCGCATGCACAAGAAGAGAGGAAAGTGAAAGGGAGAGGAAAGAAGGAAACAAGCAGTAGGCCAAATGTAACGGCCGCAGGGGAGGCAAACGCATGAACGGCTGAGAAGACAAACGGAGGTAAACAGAAGGGACAAACGGGAGAAACAAACGGATCAAAGGGAAAGGAAGAGACAAACGGAGGAGATAAACGGAGGTAAACGGAAGAGACAAACGCGTCAAAGGAAAAGGAAGACACAAACGGAGCTAAGCGGAAGAGACAAACGCATCAAAGTACGAAGTACAAGCAAGGGACAAACGGAGGTAAACGGAGGAGACAAACGCATCAAAGGACAAGCAAGAGACAAACGCATCAAAGGACAAGCAAGAGACAAACGCATCAAAGGACAAGCAAGAGACAAACGCATCGAAGGACATGCAAGAGACAAACGCATCACAGGAAAATTAAGAGACAAAAGGACACAAACGGACACAAACGGACACAAACGGAAGAAAAAAGGAATCTAGGTGGGCGCAAGGACAGCGCAGGAGCACACAGAGAGAGAGAGAGAGAGAGAGAGAGAGAGAGAGAGAGGGAGAGAGAGAGAGAGAGAGAGAGAGAGAGAGAGAGAGAGAGAGAGAGAGGAGGAAGGGCATATATGAGCAGAAGAGAAGATGACATACCGCATCCTGAGCTGCTCGGTTCACCATAGCTAACTGCTTTCCTTGGAGACTAGATCAGGTGCCAAAGTCGTGAAAGCTTGAATGGCTTTCTCCCTTTCTCTCTTTCTCCCTTTCTCCCTTTCTCCCTTCCTTACTCGCTTGCTTGATTGCTAGTTTCCTACGCTCTCTGTGTATCGCTCCGTTGATGAACCATATTGTCGAGCGCTCAATTTGCTTCTGCATCAGGATCATCACCATCGCCATCACAATCGTCATCCTCCGCACCATCGTTATCTCCATCGTCATCGCCATCACAACAGCATCATTACTACGTCCATCTCAGAGAGAGATAAATGTCTAGAATTTTTTATTTTCACTTTTTTATTTTTTAGCAGATGAAAGACTCCGCACTAAAAAGAAAGGAAAACCAACACCATCATCATCCCCATCATCACCATCAGGACACACCATCGCCATTTCTTTTTTCTTTTTTCTTTTTCTTTTTTTCCTTCACGTGTCGCGTGATACACCTAAACCGAGGGTATGTAACAACGACCCTCATTCGTCATTCGTCATCGTCATCGTCATCGTCATCGCCATCGTCATCGCCATCGTCATCGTCACCGATAGTCAAATTTGGCGCCAAAACGTCATCGTCTTGTGGACGTATTTTGAATCCCCTTGAGCGAATATTGGTTGTAATTGAAATATAAATAGCCGTAGCGGAAAACAGATCTTGTGGATGGCCTAAAGCACGTATAGTATCAGTATGGATACATCAACAAAAAATACGAAAACCTGAAAAAGATACAAGGCCAATTTAAGTGAGATATAACCGTCATTCTGCATCACCATCGTCATCGCCATCGCCATCGCCATCGTCACTGTCACCAGCATGGCCAGCCATCATCTCCCCCCACCATCGCCATCACCATCGTCATCGACTGGCCCTCCTCTTCACCATGACTATCGATCATCATCACCATCACCATCAGGATGGAGCATCATCACCTTTTCGGATTTCGTGTGTGATACAGTGATAGACCCAAAACGTTTTTTTTTTTTTTTTTTNTGTGTGTGTGTGTGTGTGTGTGTGTGTGTTGAGAGAAGAACATAGCTTAAAAAAAAAAAAAAAAATTAAAAGGTGGTCTCTTCACTCTTTTCGCTGTAATTTTGTTTCATTCCTGCGCGTGCTGAGTTTGAAGAACACGCTTATTTTTGTAATACGTATCATACTTTGGTATTGCTGAGCAATTGTCACGGCCACCCTCTCTACATTACACTCCCACAGAAATCTCATCCCTTACTACGTACATCTCCGAGAGTTTTCATCCTTCGAAAGTGTTTTGTATTCCTCGGATTGAGAAGAGGCCATCTGCAGCGGAATGGATCGTACTCCAGACAGGTTTTCTATCCTTCGTGTTTTGGCACAGCTGCGGCTGAACATACATCGGTATTGATTGGCTTTGGTGCCAATCAACCACTACGCGGGAATAAGCTTGTTCAGACTGCCCAAGCTGCAGATCAAGATCGGTTCTTGGCTTTTTATGGTGGTACCAATCAACCACAACGGGGGCAGGCTTTGATTGAATTGAAAGCCTATCGAAATTGGTTGTGAGACGGCGCACCGTAAAAATGGGGATAAAAAGCTCGATGGGGGCTTTTCATGCCCCCGTTATTTTCATCTACAGAAAGAGTTTATGCCCACTGGATAATTGGAACCATATTGATGTAAAGCAGCAATATGAAGAATACTGGGAGACAGCCAGGCAGAGCATTCTATGGGAATTGCATTCAACAAATGGAAATCCCTCATCAACCCGGTAGCCATCGACCAACTACAGTCAATCAATTGATCGATCAACCAATCAATCAACCAACCAATCAAGCAAGCAAACAATCAATTAATCGATCAATCAATCAATCAATTAATCGATCAATCAATCAATCGATCAATCAATCAATTAGCCAATCAATCAATCAACCAATCAATCAATCAATCGATCAAATAGTTGATTAATCGATCGATCGACCGAGCAGCCGATCAATTCGTGTCAATCAATTAATCAACCGGTTAATAAATGTCAATCAGTCAGGCAATCATGACTTGTTCAATCAAGCAATCCCATCGTAAAACATTCAGTTGAGCAATCAGTCAGCCGATCATCGACCAATCAATCAAGCACGCACGCAATCGATCCCGAAAATCAGCCAGGGTTCATCTCGAGTCACTCCACAGTGCCACGTGGCAGCCAATCCTAAAAAACGTCCATGCTTCTCGATTAGGGGGGAAGAGGGAGGGGGGGGGAGGGGCCTCAGATTGACAGCAACACTTCCGCTTTCCTTTCTTGGCCAAAAAAAAAAGAAAAGACATGGTGCCTATATCCTTTTTTTTCTTTTCTTTTCTTTTTTTTTTTTTTTTTTCTTTTTTTTTGGGCGCCTATATCATTTTTTTTCCCCCACTTTTTCACGTATTTTTTCTTTCTATGCTATGGGCGCCGTTTGTCCTCTCATTACGGGGAAAAAGAAAGAGGGGGGGGGCGGCGGGGGGGGGGGAAGACCTTAGATTGACAGCAACACCTCTGCTTTCCTTTTTTGGAAAAGAAAAGACATGGCGCCGACTGTATAATTTTCTTTCTTTCCTTTTATTTTTCCGCATGTATCATTTTCTTCTTTTTTTTTTTCCCTCATATTTTTTCACGCCTTACAATGGCTCTTTTTTGTTTCTACATTTTTTTTTCTATGCTATTGGGCGCCCTTTCCCCTCTCATTGATACCTCATAATTTCTCATCGCCTTCTTTTTTTTTTTTTTTTTTTTTTTTTTTTTTTTATAAAACCCTTTTTTTTTTTTTTTTTTTTGGTTTTTTTTTTTCCTCCTTTTTTTTTTTTTTTTTTTTTTTTTTTTTTTTTTGAGAAACAGCCCGAGCGGGCTCTCTCCGCAAAACACTGAATCGTCTTCTCCCAAAAAGACCGCGAGGGCACTACCTTTGTTTTCTCCTTCCTTTTTCCAAATAATAAAATAATGGAATCATAATTTTAAAAATATATAAAATAATAATCATCATAATACAAACAGAAAATGCATACTGCCCGCCCGAGTGAGAGGGGGATAGATAAAATATTCAAAAAAATTATAAAATTATAAAATAATCATCATCTAACATGGAATAAGCGAAACGATGGCCATCAGTTCATAGCACCATCATTAGGCGTTTATGTTTGGTTTTTTTTTTTTGTCGTTTTGGGGCGCTTGATGATGGCCATTGCTAAGCAACCGGACTGGAGACCCTCCAGAATATAAAAGGGATTGTGTTAAAAAAAAAAAAAAAAAAAAAAAAAAAAAGGATCATCATTGGGTGCTTCTCTGTTTTTCACCCGATGGCCGTTAGATAAATTGGAATACGAGATTGTTCATTTTAAAAAACGTAATTGTTCATTAAAAAAAAATTAAAAAAAAACGTAATTGTTCCTTAAAAACATTTCAAAAAAATGATGATGACGTGTTCTCATCCTGTCGTCTTTCAGGATGACGGACACGTCAGCACCAACTAAATGCGTTGAATCCATAATATCGATAGACGAAGGACCTCGATCCACTACTCACCACATGTGCCAAAATGAGAATGAATCTTCCGCTGGAATATGGGAAGATACAACACCATATTTTTCGTCTTTTGTGCATGTGGTGAGTAGAGGAGCTAGGCCCGAAAAGGATCGAAAATGGGAAGGCAAATGGGCCCAAAAAAAAAAAGAAAAAAAAAAAGAAAAAAGACAGTTCACTTTCACGTTCATGTTACATGCGGCCGTTCTCGGTTTGTCGGTTTCTCTCGCAATCAGAACAGTCAGCCCCGTTTTTTTTCAACAAAATAATAATAATAATAACAATAATATATTAGCAATAATAATAATAAAATAAATAAATAACAAATTTGTCGGGAAACAAAAAGAAAAAAAAAATTGATGCCAAAGCTTATCCTCAACCAATAGCTTTCTCCCCCTTTTGGCTCAAGATAGATCAAGTGTAGTGTCTGTTGTCATCAGTTTAATATATATCTGACACATTATAAATAAAATAAAATAAAATAAAATAAAAATTGCCACCTGGCTCCACCATCTGTATATTTATCTGAAATGTTTTTAGCCTTGAAATTGTTTTCCTTTTCTCTCTTTTTTTTTTTTAATGGAGCGGACAACTTGGTTTCTTGTAAGCATATAATGTGGGCAGACTGAGAATGGGCCCAAGAGGAAAACCTCAATCTCCTACTTCTATCATTTAGGNGTCTACAGGAGCATAAATAGACATTATTCCCCAATCCTCCTTTCCAACCGCAATTTTAGCCCACGCGAATCTGCCATGGATGTTTGCGAAGCTATCTATAATCTCAACATCAAGGTCTTTATGAAATAGGACTGCAACCCCACCTCTGGTGCCTTCGGCTGGGGCAAACAGACCTCGGTCTGACCACCAATTGCCTAATTCTGCAATCCGCAGAGCGGACAACTTGGTTTCTTGTAAGCATATAATGTGGGCAGACTGAGAATGGGCCCAAGAGGAAAACCTCAATCTCCTACTTCTATCATTTAGGCCTCTCACATTCCAACTAACAACCCTCAGGCGGTACGGCAAGACCATTGGTCTGTCCGATTCCTCCGCCCGTAGTTTGGATATGGCGCTGGGATCCCGCAGGAAGCTTCCTGCGTTTGTCGTTATCGTCCTCCCCAGTTTCCAGCTGAGTCAAAACCCAAGGGCTTGTCATCACAGCTGAAAACTGGGCGTTGAATTGTTTTCCCCTGCCTTTATTCAATTGTTTCCTCTTTTCAATCCAAGACTGCATGGCGCGCTCGACTGTTTCTTCCTTATCTCCTTCGCTCTTCACCTCTCTCTCTCTCTCTCTCTCTCTCTCTCTCTCTCTCTCTCTCTCTCTCTCTCTCTCTCGACCCGAGGTGATAATCTAACTGTGCACAGACATCTGCCTGCCCAATATATGTATATGCATATATAGTATAAAAATCTATAAATATTATAAATGTCTGTATACTTAATATGAATATTATATACATATATATCCTCTTCTCTTTCCCTTTTTTCCTTTTCCTTTTTTTCTTTTCCCTTTTTTTCGCTTCTGCGGTCTGATTCACAGTGTGACAATATATATATATATATACATGT